ATATGAGAAGAAAAGGTATATATTCGCGTGTATCTATAAGGCCACACCTCGTATGTTATGCGATGCGTTCAACGCCTAACTTGTCGACTCGTAAATTAGCAGACTCCAACAACAATAACAACAACTACAATCTCACTCAATGCCTACGGAATCATTACGGAAACAAGGAAGTGAACTTTTCAAGAACAATTGTTTCAAGGATACGGTTCATATATTCTTTCACTGAATGAGATTTATTCCCGGGTTATATATTTATTTAAAAGATAAAATAAATAAAAGAAATTCTTTAAATAGAAAGTGCAGAAATTTTGCCAGGGCACAGATCGGGGTCTGATTAGGCAGCCCTATTAGGGAATAAAAACCCCGCGTCTGTGGCCCTGATTACACCTTTTCCAGTCGTCCTGATTTGGCCCTGATCAAATGTGGCGTTTCATTCCCTACTAGGGCCCTGGTAGGGCAATTTCTACACGAGAAATATCACTTTTTAGTTTGAAGTTATGTTAATGAGTTAAACTTTATATGCAACAAAACGGAATCGGTTAAATGTATGATAAAAATCCTTTCGTCTTTGGAAATGAGAACACATCTCTCTTTCTCACTCTTAAAAATATGATGCAAAACTTTGTTTGCTCGACTTTGATGAAGTTACGGTGGTCGTTTGCTTGACCTGACCATCTTGGTCGTCATATAAAACCTACGCTTGCTATTCTCTCTGTCTCTCTCTTTTTCACTCCAAAGTGAGACGAGAAAGTCCTTTATTGTCTAACCAAAAAGAGAGGATATGAACTTGATGACGCTGCCTAGCCCAAGTTTTCTTCACATGATCGTGGGTAAAACCTACTCCACATTAATATTCCAGAGAGAAATCCTCTATATTCTCAAGATTCAGAGATAAAAAGGAGATGCTGCTTTGATGTAATTATAATTTTATGTGAATTTCTAGAAAATATGAATATATATATATACTCAGTGAATTATTATTAAACGAAAAATCGTCATCTCTCATGACTTTTATTCCCGTTAGAATGACACGCGGGGATGGGATTCGATTTTATACTATAGATAAAAAGCAGATCTTCAACGTTGCCAACAACCCCTTTTATACCAATGGAAAAAAACCAGGTGTCTTACCAATTATGGCATGAGAACAACTTGGCTATCTATCTATTTGGTCAGAAAGAATCTTAAAAGAGACGAAAGAATAGATCGCTAGATTACACCAAATATAAATATTTTTTTTCTTGTTTTTATTTCACGATACTACCCATAAAAATAGACCAATTAAACTTTCGAAATCGTATAAATCTGGACAATGAAAAACAAAAAAAGAAAACAATTCGGTTGATAAAGATTTTTGGAAGCATAAAAGAATAACTTTTTACTACATTGAACGTGAAAATGATAAACGATTTTAAAACACTTTTTTTTCTCGAAACAATGACACTTTTTACAAAAGCAGCCACAGATTCTTTTCTTATAAATTTTCTACATTAAAAAAATTGTGTGAATCCATACAAAAACGCGATTACAACACAAAAAGTAGGAAAGTAATATAATGACAGGTTCATTGTCTCCTGCCGCCGCTAGATGGCAGAAGCATACAGGAATCATAAAGTCGCAGCTTTTAGTATATTACTTTTCTACTTTTCGTTTTGCAATCGCGTTTTTTTATGGTACTTTGGTACCAATTACTATGGTACCAATTACTTTTTACCAATTACTATATGGTACCAATTACTTTTTACCAATTACTATATGGTACCAATTACTTTAATACTAGTTATGTTGGTACCAGTTACTTTGGTACCAGTTACTTTAGTACCATTTAGTTACTATGGTACCAGTAACTTTGGAACTAGTTATGTTGGTACAAATTACTTTAGTACCAGTTAGTACGGTACAATATAGTTACTTTTGTACCAGTTACTATGGTACCAGTTACTATGGTAACAATTGCTATGGTAGCAAATAACTTTGGTACCAATTACTTTGGTACCAGTTATTATGGTACCAATTATTTACTATGGTACCAGTAACTTTAGTACCAATTACTATGGTAGCAAATAATTTTGGTACCAATTACTTTATTACCAATTACTATGGTGCCAAATACTTTGGTACCAGTTACTATGGTACCAATTATTTACTATGGTACCAGTAACTTTGGTACTAGTTATGTTGGTACCAATTATTTTAGTACTAGTTATTACGGTACCATTTAGTTACTTTTGTACCAGTTACTATGGTACCAGTTACTATGGTAGCAAATAATTTTGGTACCAATTACTTTAGTACCAATTACTATGGTGCCAAATACTTTGGTACCAGTTACTATGGTACCAATTATTTACTATGGTACCAGTAACTTTGGTACTAGTTATGTTGGTACCAATTATTTTAGTACTAGTTAGTACGGTACCATTTAGTTACTTTTGTACCAGTTACTATGGTACCAGTTACTATGGTAGCAAATAATTTTGGTACCAATTACTTTAGTACCAATTACTATGGTGCCAAATACTTTGGTACCAGTTACTATGGTACCAATTATTTACTATGGTACCAGTAACTTTGGTACTAGTTATGTTGGTACCAATTATTTTAGTGCTAGTTAGTGCGGTACCATTTAGTTACTTTGGTACCAATTAGTTACTATGGTACCAATTAGGTCAGACAAATGCGAGTACTTCTAATATTTCGGGTTTTACAAAAGTAAAAAAATCGAAATCGAATATTAGTAAAAATATTAAAAATTTCCTTGTGAAAATCGTTGAGCGAATAATACAACGAAGAAGGGAGTTCGTGTGCTCGAAGCGAGGATCGTGTTCTCAGAAGATGTTTCTTTTCATGGACATCATTCGTATCATCGGCAACCCCACGCGCGTTATACACTACTCTTTGAAGAACATGGCGTAACCGGTGCACCATATCAGAGAGAGAGAGAAAGCTATAGTACCTGTAATATTGCAATGCGAACAGTCAGCGAGGATGGTCAAGATTAGTTCCGATTGCTTCTGCACGGAGAGTTGTATATATATATATATATATATATATATACACAGAGAAGGGTTGCTCATAGTCCAAGCATCGATCCTCTAACTACCGCTTCTGCCCGTTAATGAGTCATGTTTAATTGGCGTGGGAAGCTCGCGGATACATCCACCTAACGGAATTGTATCGTACCTAATGCTTGGAATTAGTCTCCTATGTTCTATACTGCTATATGTATAGAGGATCACTTGGCGGCGTCCGTGTGAAAAGGACCAATATCACATAAAAGAGAAACAGAGGGAAAAAAATACCAACTTTACAAATAAAAAAACACCTATATATGTAAATATATACACAGAGCGCTTGTTATCCAAGAAACAACGTATTTAAAGTCCTCTTTTTACGACTATTGCCATTTTATTTTCTTACTTTTGATTGTAAAACAACCACACACATAGAGTAATTTACAAGGAAATAAATGCAACGCGTTCTTGATAATTCTGTCGCACACCAGATGCTAGACACGGAAGCATGGCTTCGCGGATGCTGAGGGCTTCTTTTCTTTAAACTATATAACTAAAGTGCGTGACTATAAATTAAACCCTTTCCAATCATTGGAAAAAAAAAATCTTTGAAATATTCTTGAAACTTAGAAATCAAAAAAATATATTTCAAAAAATACAGAAATTATATAGTATATTAAAAGCGAGGTGAAAAAAAAATAAAGAAAAAAAATTGAATATATAAGACTCGATAAGAGAATATAGTGAATTCTTTGCGCGATGACAAAGTGTTTCATCCTCAGTCATGCATTTGCTTGGGGGCATATATAATGTGAAGAGAAATTTCGCCCACGCTGCGAGAAAAGAAGAGTACATTTTCAAGCCACTGGTTTAACAGAACCAGAAAGAGAATGGTTTTTCTCAAGTGGGATGAGGTGGTGGTTGGGGAGGGGGGGGAGGCAAGAGATGGAAGACTGCCTGGTGCTTTTGCGAGTCGCGATTCTCGTGTATTCTTTGCGTTACTGCACACGACTTAATATGCATATACACAGCGAATGCCAACTGAGAGTCACACCCATCATAGATGGCCTACCTACCCTCTGTGGGTGGCGCTATGTTATCGTGAATAAATCGTGTCTTCAATAGTCCGCGAGGCTACTTATCGATTCCTATATTTGACCGCACATCAAGGGAAAAAAGATACCAAAAAAAAAACTGATTTTACCTTTTTTTCTGAATTCTAATTATCTGATGTCATTTTTTCAAAATGTTGGCTCCAATATGGCGGAAGATTTTTTAAAATTAAAAAAAAAATTACTTCAAAAGAAGAAATTATAAAATTTATTTTCTAAAAATACTTTTTCTAAATTCTACAATATTATTAAAGGCCAGAAAGACTAGATTAACATTTGGAAAAGAAAGATAGAGAGAGGGAGAGAGAGAGAGAGAAAGAGAGATTGTGGCGGTAAAAAGAGACCAGAAAGTCTAAAGACAAATGAGAATATAATTGCGCTATTATGCGTTAGCCTTCATAGAAACCGCAACGAAGAAGAATAGAAGAGACGATAAAAAACATCACGAATGTATCCAATGCCTTACCCTTCAGATCATACCTAACTGTTATTTTTCGCATTTCTCTCTATCATTAACACCGACGTAATTGCACAATTCCTAATCGTTCCAACCTTCATGTTTTTGATATTGTAGCAAATTTCACGTCACATTAGAAAGTCAAGAAACAATTATTCCGTATAGCTTCATTTTATACTTTATATAAATCAAAAATACATTATTTCCCATGAATCTCAAAAAACAAATTTCAATATATTTTTTTTCAAAACCAATAGAAATTGTTCTATATTGTATTTTTATAAATATAAAATACAATTGGAAATTTTTTTTATGTCCCTTATCCTTTAATATACTTAATATATATATATAAATATGCCATATGAAATATTAAAAAAAAAAAAATTAAAAAATTAATCAAAATTTGATAGTACTCACCTCCCTTGACGTTGGAGTCCCCAGGATGCAGGGGCTGTCCGAGCGGCGGGGCGCACTGGCCCACCGCTTGCTCGAGAGCTCGCTCTCCTCCTGAAACAAAATTTAGATATTCAAATTTAGATACCAAAGAAAAATGATTTTAAATCATTAAATAAATATTTAATTATATCAAATAAATAAATATAATTGTATCAAATAATTATTATTTCAGTCAATTAAATGATACTTATTGTATCAAGGTTACCGTGGTAACAATTACCAAGCAACGGTTTCTATAGCAACCGTTTTCATAGCAACCGTTACCATAGTAACCGGTACCATAGTAACCGTTACCACAGCAACCGTTACCATAGTAACTGGCACAAACGTAACTGGTACCATAGTAACCGGTACCATAGTAACCACTACCATAGTAACCGGTATCATAGTAACCGGTACCATAGTAATCGGTACCATAGTAACTGGTACCACAGTAACCGTTACCATAGTAACTGGCACCAACGTAACTGGTACCATAGTATCTAAATGGTACCATAGTAACCGGTACCATAGTAACTGGTACCACAGTAACTAAATGGCACCAATGTAACTGTTCCGAAGTAACTGGTACCAACTTAACAGGTACCATAGTAACTGGTACCATATAGTAACCGGTACCACAGTAATTAAATGGCACCAACGTAAATGGTACCATAGTAACCGGTACCATAGTAACTGGTACCATAGTAACTAAATGGCACCAATTTAACTATTCCGAAGTAACTGGTACCAACTTAACAGGTACCATATAGTAACCGGTACCATAATAACCGTTTCCATGGCAAACTATTTTTTATTATATAGAAACTAATTTTTGACCTGAATTTTAAAACAAAAGAAACAAAGACCTAAATTTTAAAAGACACAAAACCCTCGACGAAGGCGTTTTGCTAATTTTTTTTTTTATTGAAAAAAAGTACAATAATTATAAATCATGATCATCAATGTCGTCGTCTATATGATCAACGTAATAAACGTGTTTAAGAGTAGATCATGAAATCTTCTACATGGTATATATATATATTTAGAAGAGAGGGGCACATATAATGATAATGACGCAGGTGCGTTTGATTTTGCTTTGAAATAAATGCAAAAGGCCTTAAACGTGAGACGATCAGAGGTCATCGCTACAGTGGTCTTCCATTAAAACAGGCCAGTATCCTCTGTGCATCTATAGCAACAGCATGTTGCTTTTTCGCTACATGCGATTCGCACGTATTGCTGAGTAATGAACGGCCAACATTGCCAAGAAATCACGCATGAATGGTATACAACTCGCGTCTTTGATTATTAACGAGATTCAATAAAAAAAAAGTCACAAGTTACTGCGTGCGAATTTACGGATCTTGAAAAACTTCCTCCCATATATATATATATATTGCTTCTAAAAACGTATGTTATAGGGAAAAAAAAATTTTTTTTTCTTTTTAGATGGAAATAACGCAGTATTTTTAGAATATTAAAAAAAAATGAGCATAAAGAAAAGCGTGACTTCTATTTAAGGAAAGTCGATAAATGAGAGACTAAACTAAATTATATATACATCATTATTATTATGGTTATATCGTAAATTTTGAAATTTCTGTTCCTGAAAATGTGCGCGACATTTCTCTCAGGCCGCATGGCATCAAAAGTTTAGTTCCAACGACCGCTAGTGAACGTTAATGGATCAATTATCCAGCGCAATTTAAAATAAAGCGGTGTGTAACTTTATCGTTTAGCTTGAAAATCATGGCATGCAGTGTTGTGCTCCGGTGTCATGGAAAAAGGTAATTAAGACTCTCTACACACAAGTGTCAACGACTCGTACAAAAAAAAAATGAAAGAAGCAGGCTCAAAACGCCTTCATCTAGGGTTTCGTGTCTTTTAAAATTCAGGTCAAAAATTATTTTGTATATAATAAAATATAGTTTACCATGGCAACGGTTGCCATAGTAATGGTTGCTATAGTAAAATTTGTCCTGAAATCGGTTGCTATAGACATATTAAAACGGTTGCCATGGTAACGGTTACTATATGGTACCGATTATTATGGTAACGGTTACTATGGTAACGGTTACTATGGTACCGGTTACCATGGTACCGGTTACTTTATGGTATTGGTTACTTTTATGGTACCGGTTACTTTATGGTACCAGTTACCATGGTACTGGTTACTTTATGGTATCGGTTACTATGGTACTGATTACTTTATGGTACCGGTTACTATGGTAACGGTTACTATGGTAACGGTTACTATGGTACCAGTTACTATGGTACCGGTTACTATGGTAACGGTTACTATGGTACCGGTTACTTTATGGTACTGGTTACTTTTATGGTAGCGGTTACTTTATGGTACCTGTTACCATGGTACTGGTTACTTTATGGTACCGGTTATTATGGTACCAGTTATTTTATGGTACCGGTTGATATGGAAACGGATGTTATAGTAACTGTTACCATACAATAAAAGCAGCATCATCAGATAATTTTTCTCACAATACATTAAAATAATTTATATTCTTTCTCTATAAAAAAAATTTTAATTTCTTAAAACCTGTCTTTAAAGTCGACGCGTGATTCCCATTGAGGTTCTACATTAAAATTTGCATCGACTTTGACATACCCTTAAGAAAAAAATGAGATATCAAGAAAAAAAAACGGAATTTTTACTTTGAAAACTATTACATAGAAGTAAATTGTATTTACTCCCCTCAAAGACGTGAAAGTTTCCCGATATTGTGAGTGTTATTTGTACTGTACAACACGCGAGCCAAGTTATTATAATTATATGTCTATGACACAAGAGCCAGAGAGTTTGAAACGAACATGTTATAATTACTCTTTCCTTTCAGCTTTATAAAACGCGACCACCCGCATATTAAAATAATATACGAATTAAATATTCATTGTTTGTGCCGTCGAAAATTTATTTAAAAAAAAAAAACCCCGATTTTTATATTCAATTTTCTTTTTGTGCTATTCACTTCAAAAAAAAGTAATTAATACTTTCAAAATCAAACTTTTTATGTAAATAAAATTAAAATTCGATATGACATAAATTTTGTTGCTAATTTTTTACCGAATTTAACCACAACTAGAATAAAATTTGTTCCAGTTAATTTTATATACCATTTCGGAGTAAAAATTGTATTTTTTCGTGATATAAAATTATAATAGTAAAAAATAATTAATGAAATATAATTATTAAAAGCAAATAAATATTCTATTGGTTCGCGTGAAAATTCGAAAAGAGAAGAGCAATTTTAAATAATTCATGAACTCGGGAATTAATTAGCATTAATTATTCATACGTTAATATCCGGATCTGTTACAATTTATATAGAATTTTCAATAATAAATCAGAATTGTTCATCTCTCTCTCTCTATATATATATATCTATTAAAAAATCATGAATAAATTAAACTCATAACCTTCCAATGTTTTTTTAATTATCAAGACCAGGTGTACTATCTATATAAGAGAAAATTATTGGTTTATTACTTTGATTGCATATATATTCTATTATCCCTGTGTATTATTATTAACACACTGTTAAGTAATGCAGTTGCCAATATGTTACACTTTCTCTCAATTTACCATAATACGTTATTAAATTACACGCATGAAAACCAAATGTTCAAATCGTAATGCGTTATTATAATAAAAAGATTCTTCTGTATTTATAAAAAAAAAAGGAGAAGATTTATGAATTCTTCGCGTGTATAATAAATCATTTTAAAAAAATAAAACTATATTCTTCCGGCTTGGAATTATTATATTTGTTTTATTCTCTAAAAAAAATTCTAAATGATATAAAAAAAAAATTGATTTTCGAGAAAAAAATTCTTATAAATTAAACAAATCTGATTTCGAGAATATAATTTCTAAAACGAGGATATTCGAAAGCGTTGCGAAAATGGCGTGGTTCATTAATCGAGTATAACCTAATGAGACTAATCAAATATAACTCATCGCGGATTATATTAGAAAATGCATATCCATCAGACTTCCATTCATTCCCACGCCGATATATATACAAGTCATTAATGACGTTCAAAACTCCACCGCAATAATATATTCCAATAATTATGGAATTTTAACGCCCGCAAATTATATAAACTTGTCATTTATTAAGATTAAATTATTAAAATTAATCTCTCAATAAATTTCATAAATAATCTCTCAATAAAAAAAAAATTAAAAAAAAAAATAATTCCAACCAATCTGGAAAATTTTTAAATAAAAAATTTATGACCCATATTTCTAAATTAACCTAAATCTGTCGCAACTGAGTCTTGCGCACGCTTTTTTTTGTGTGCGTTTATTAATTAAATCAAAAGTGTAGGTTTTGTAACTTGTGCTTCCGCGAAATGAACAATCGCAAATGAGCAACAAGAGAGACGATCGACCGTTTTGTCGGATTCACAGTTGGACGCACACGAGTTTGTATTTGTGTGTCTGTAAACATATATATATATATATATATATATAATTACATTCGTTAAAATAACTCGAGATCGTTCTACCCGCGCTCTTTTCATTTATTTATATATATATACAAAAACAATTAATGTTTTAACTCTTTCTCAACACAGAAAACTTTAAGGCCGTAAAAGAGATGTTACCACAGGACATATCACTTCCTAAATGAGAATATCTTTCAAAATTTCTTCATTCGATGTTTAATAGAGTTGTTCAAAATATTATCAAATATTTATTGCCATTTAATTCCTTTCTTTAAAAGAATTTTAATTTTACAGAATTTTCATTTGTCCGAAATTATAATTGGCCGAACAAATAACCGTTAGAAAAATTATGCCGAAATCATTCTGACAATTCTTCGTTCGGCCATCTGTAATTTTGGACAAATGAAAATTCGTCATCTTAAAAATTCGTACAAATACAAATTCGGATAAATAAAAATTCGGACAAAAGAAAATTCGGATAAATTAAAATTCGGACAAATGAAAATTCGGAATCTTAAAAGTTCGTACAAATACAAATTCGGATAAATAAAAATTCGGACAAATGAAAATTCGGCATCTTAAAAATTCGTACAAATACAAATTCGGATAAATAAAAATTCGGCATCTTAAAAATTCGTACAAATACAAATTCGGATAAATAAAAATTCGGACAAATGAAAATTCGGCATCTTAAAAATTCGTACAAATACAAATTCGGATAAATAAAAATTCGGACAAAAGAAAATTCGGATAAATAAAAATTCGGACAAATAAAAATTCGGATAAATTAAAATTCGGTGAATTGGAATTTCTGTCATTTAAAAATTCGAATCACATAAAATTCGTTTGAATTTGGTAGCTAAAAATTTGGTTACATAAAAATTCATATAAAATTATTTCTAATAAAGTGCTTGAAAATAAAAATTCTAATGTTTTTTTTTTTTTTATGGGAAATTCATGCGCCTCTATAAAATAAAAAAAGGTAATAAATATCTAAATACATATGCTTAAAAATATAATACTGTGTTGATCTAGATCTGTAATAATGTGAAAAGTGATACGATAGGGAGATAGTAATGCAACATATGGGTGCAAACAATCACCTGGTTGTCAATTATAGTCCATATATAAAATCTCATTGAAATTCTGTTTGTAATACTTGATATGTCTATTCTGGAAAATCTAAGATTATTTATATGCACACACCTGAACACGAAGAACGTCTCTTGACGTTTTCGATTGGTATTCCCGTTTGTGCAACCAAGATCGACCTTATACCTATATAAAATCTTATATATATATATATATATATATATATGTGTATTCAACAACACGTGCCACGTATATAGTTGCACCAATACCGAGACACGTGGCAATTGAATTATTTAAATGTGTGAGTGTGACTCTTAGAGTTGCTCTCTCGCGATATTGCCATATATACAGCACAAGGAAGAACTTCTATATAATATATATAGTAAAATAAACTTTCACTGGGTGGAAAATTAAAACCTATTTACCCAACGGGCTTGTCTTTATATTTATAGCATTGATTCCAAGTTGCAAAATATTATGTCTTAAGCCACTGTGTCAATTGGTCAAATTTTGAAAAATCTTCCGCCATTTTCAATTTCAAAAATTAAAATGTTTTTTCATTTCGGAGAAAAACGAATAAAGTAAATTTTATTACTTTAAAAGTAAAACTTAAACTGTCCGCAGTTTCTGTCAATTTTTACTACAGAGATATAGTAAAATTTACTATTTCCAGAATAATTTTTACTAATTCAGAAGTAAATTTTACTATTCTCGGGGTAAATTTTACTATTTCTGAAGTAAAAAATTACCAGAAATATACGCAAAAACTGCGGAAAATTCGGGTTTTACTTTTAATGTAGTAAAAGTGACTTTATTCGTTTTTCCATTTTTCTCCGTATAATTAAAGAAAAAAAAACTGAACTTTTCTTTTAATTAAACGTCACAAGAGTTGATGAATCAAAAGATTAAAATCCATCTGGCCAGGTGTGTAAAATTTACTATATATTCATTCCAGTTTGAGAACAGGGCCTAAGGAAACGCATTATCGAATCACTTATACATAAGGGTATTAGATAAGCGAAGCGGCAGGCGCTTTATCGTACAGTTTCAGCGATAAGAAGAAGCCTCGACCACCCACCATGCCCCACGATTCTAATAGTTTCCAAACTAAATAAAATTAAAGAAACAAAATTTTCTTTTTTTTTATCAAAAACGCAATCGAAATAAATTTAAAAAAAATGTGATCATGTTTTTCTATTTTTAAAAAAATAGATTCTCAGAATCAATTGAAGTTTATGTGCGTAAGCATATTTAGAGGAAGAGATGATTGCCGCAAAGTAGAGAGAAGAAAAATTGGCATTAAAGAATTCTGGAGGTGAGAGAGCTATAAAATTGCGCGGAAGAGTGCAGAGTATATACAACACACACGCGTGATCGTGACTCACCGCGTGACCCATGACTTCCATTGCTTGATGAGCGCATGAAAAGAGTGGCAAACTTTCGAGTCGTGAGGCGCACACGAGAGCTGTGTAACATTCACAAAAAAAAAGAAGAAAAAAAAAAAATGAAAGAAGAGATGAATGAGTATACGACATTCAAACTATCGTGTTTTTGCTTTCATGAACCAGCACAAATTAGTGTCGTCTTTCGTAAAACTTGCGGCTAACGATCCTTTCAATTTAAAAGCATATATCCCAAGACATTACCAATTCGAGAGTTCAACTTTATACGCATCTCAACTATATATGCGACTTTCAAATTTGAAAGTATTCCTGGAAATTCCGATTTACTGTATATATATGATCAACTTTAGATATTCGAAATTTATGATTTTTTTTTCTATAAATAATTCACGTTTGAATTTTTTTTTTTTTGCATTTGATTGTATAATCTTTTACTAATTTGAGTTAATAAAAATTTTAGAGCAACCAAAATTTGGTTGGGCAAACAAAAAAAAATTTTTTTGGTTGGAATTTAAAAATGTTCAACCAAATAATTTTGTTGGCCTAACCAAATGTTTGGTTGAGTTAACTCTACGACTTTGTTTCAGCCAACCAAAATTTGGTTAATAACCAAAATTTTTACTAATTCTTTAGTTTTTTTTCAGAGCGTCACATATTCTAAATTTAACAATATAACATTTTAAATAGTAATATTATCAACATCAGGTATTAGAAAGAACATCAATCTTCAAAGGGGATAATTTATTAATAGAATTAAAAGTGAAAACTATTGAACCAGTAGCACGTGCGCCAATATTGTCTTGTTTTGTCAAAGTGGTTTAACAACCTACGCAAAGTTTTGAGTGCGAACACGTTTCTCCGATATTAATCACTATCAAAAAGATAGTAAATCACATATAAAGTTTTATCACATAAAAGAGATCGTGAACAATAATTTTTCCTACCAACAAAAAAAAAAAAAAAAAAAAAAACAAGGAAAAAATATACTAAACAACGATAAACATACCACCAAGTTAGACACTCATCATCATTACTTTCAGTATCCTATAAATTTTCTTAATTTATAGGAAGCAATAATTATATTCCATTACAAAAGTATAACATGTTTCGAAGTGATGAACGAAACTCAGTTTGCAAAATGGAAATTTTTTTTTTTCTATATCAACTCTCACATGAATATGTATTTGTATATTATCCACTATACCAAAGATGAAACAACCTACATGCCAGTGTTCTCTGCATGAATGCACGACTCCTGCACTTTTTAGTCCGACCTCCCTCTGAGACGAATGGCGAAACCATTGCTGAGTAAAAAAAAAAACGACAACGCTGACACTTTTTTTTTTATCACGAATGATCGTTATAAACCTACACTATTTTAGTATTTTACTTATAATTTGAAAAAAAAGTAAAATTATTAAAATACAAAATTTAACAAAGAAAATCAATAACAAAATAGTTTTTCTTTTCATAAGGTAGAAATAAAATAAAAAATTTTACAAAATTTCAAATTACGAAATATATAAATTTGAAAGTCGATTAAATTTAAAAGAAAAACATAAATAAAAGCACAGGTTTTTGCCAAATAAAGTGTTCGTTATATCTTGTGGGAGAAAAATTATATATGGAAAAAAATACGAAGGAGCTAGTTAAGGGGGATGAAGGTTAATAATCACGAACGAGCCTTATTTGAACCAGTAAATCAAAAGAGGTTTTTCCACTATAAAAGGTATCCCTCTCTCGCCTTTAAAATTAAATTAAATCAGTGATTGATTAAAACACAGAGTCCATAAAGCTCGCTAACGTGCGGCGCTTACCGAGAATCAAGAGAGAGAGAGAGAGAGAGAGAGAGAGAGAGAGAGAGAGAGAGACGCGGCACGCGTCTTCTGATCTAGGCAGCTGTTTTCTCACAAACTCAACAACGAGTATCTATATAGCTTTACGTGATTGTCATACAATATAGAGCGTGTTCCTTAAAGTATAGTTCATTTTTTAAAACAACCATATAACGAGTTTTAAACGAATCTGACTGATTTCGGAAAAAATTATCCGCCACATTGAAACAGATATTTTTAATGTTCAAAAACTAAAATCAGATTCTTAATCAGCGACTCCAAAAATCCTCGACTAACAAGTTTCCAAAACATTAGGCTACCTAAGTTCTAATTCCGTGAATTCCGTGATCTAATTTCTCGAAATCCGCGATCTACTTTCACTAAATTCGTGATCTAATTTCTCGGAATCCGTGATCTCATTACGCAAAACCTCTTATCTAATTTAATGGAATCCGTGATTTAATTACGCGAAATCCGTGACCTAATTTCTCAGAAGCCGCGATCTAATTACGCGAAAACCCTACTTTCGCTAAATTCATGCTCTAATTTCGCGAATCCTCTGATCTAATTTCACGGAATCCGTGATTCAATTGCGCGAAATCCGCGATTTACTTTCGCTAAAACCGTGATCGAATTACGCGTAAAACCTGATCTAATTTTGCGAAATACATGAACTAGTTTCGCGGAATCCGTGACTTACGTTTCCCAAATCTCCCGATCTAATTTCACAGAATCCGTGATTTAATTGCGCGAAATCCGTGACCTACATTCGCTAAATACGTGATCGAATTACGCATAAAACCTGATCTTATTTTGCGAAATGCATGACCTAGTTTCGCGGAATCCGTGACTTAGTTACCCAAATCTCCTGATCTAATTTCGCGATATCCGTGACCTATTTTCTCGGAATCCACGACCTACTTTCGCTAAATCCATGATCGAATTACGCGTAAAATTTGATCGAATTTTGTGAAATCCATGACTTAGTTTTGCGGAATTCGTGACTTAGTTTCCCAAATCTCCTGATCTAATTTCACGGAATCCGTGATTTAATTGCGCGAAATCCGCGATCTACTTTCACTAAATTCGTGATCTAATTTCTCGGAATCCGTGATCTAATTACGCAAAACCTCTTATCTAATTTAATGGAATTCGTGATTTAATTACGCGAAATCCGTGATCTGATTTCTCAGAATCCGTGACCTAATTTCTCAGAAGCCGCGATCTAATTACGCGAAAACCCTACTTTCCCTAAATTCATGATCTAATTTCGCGAATCCTCTGATCTAATTTCACGGAATCCGTGATTTAATTGCGCGAAATCCGCGATTTACTTTTACTAAATCCGTGATCGAATTACGCGTAAAACCTGATCTAATTTTGCGAAATCCATGACTTAGTTTCGCGGAATCCGTGACTTAGTTTCCCAAATCTCCTGGTCTAATTTCGTAAAATCCGCGACCCTGTTTCGCGAACCTCGTGATCTAATTTCGCGGAATCCGTGATCTAATAACGCGAATTCAGTGATCTACTTTCGGTAAATCCGTGATCTAATTACGCGAATTCAGTGATCTACTTTCGCCAAATCCGTGATCTAATTACGCGAAAACCGTGACCTAGTTTCGCGGAATCCGTGATCTAATAAAAAAAAATATATTGCTTATTATTGAAATACCAATTTCCGTGTTTATAATTCAATTTTCTATTATTTTTTTAATCGCATGTAAAATTGAACATTTTATCCGATAACGGAGTTTTGACTTGGGGCAATGTTTGTACACATAAATATACGCATCATATGCATATTTACCAGCAGCATCCGTGAGTATGACAGTTTCGTGTAACTCCCAACTCGCCGGACGATCAACTTTGACTTATTGCTCGTGAAGAAAATGACGCTCCTTTCCTTCTACTGAAATAAACTATACGCAACAATAGCTAAAGCGGAATAGAAATATGCGGTCTCTCTGGTATAAAGATAAGGAACCGTTTCTCAAAAGTTATGGATAAACTATACGTTGAATCGGTGACAAATCAAATTTCCTCTCCCTAGAGTCATGTAAAGAGATTTTTGACATACCTTTTCTTTACATACATGAAAAACTATTTCTCGATTATAAAATTTTTTTAGTCTTTTTATATATATATACATCTCAATCGCGCTATAAATAGAGTTGATTGATTTTATTCTTTCACGAGAGAAGAGTTCCCTTTGTCTTGAAAGAATAAGATAATGGCATAGAGAAGACTTCACTATTTCCAAATGTAAATTCACTTTCCTCTATAAAGATCGAGACAGAGAGAGAGAGAGAGAGACTATGAGAGCAGACATCGAAACTTAGACTTGACGCCACGTCCAGTAAGCCTCGGCGACGAACGTTTTGTCGCCAGTGATTGGCGTTTCAAAGGACAACCGCATACAATGCAATTACACCGGCCTTTAACCAACGAGAGGATTCAAAGCTTTTGCGCTTGAAAATACATTACGCGTGCCGATCTACCTTTTCTACGAGACATATAACGAATGGGCATAGTTTTTGTCTATTTTTATTTTTACACCAACAGAACCGTGAGATCGTTCCTCGTTACAGGGCCAAAGGTCACTCCTCAACAAATTTTTAACCAAATATTTCATTGAATTCCTCTCTCCTTTTTTTACATATCTGACTCTCCACGAGAAAAAGGGACTTTACGATAAAAAAAAATTTTTTAGGTTATGTTTCTGATTTTCAAGTAAAAGTACAAGAACTTTTATCAAGATATAACTATCACTAAACATAACCTAAAATTTCTGTACCATAATGTCCCTTTTCTCGTGAAGCGTCACATGTACGAAATATAACAATAATTTCTATGCCCTCTAAGACAATAAAAAAATGATTATTATTTTTTTTACTAATAATTTTAATAAATTAGAATTACCTAATCGAACATAATTTAATGTTACTATTTTAAATAGACTAATTTTATAATTAATTTTTATTTTATCGATAAAAGTTTAAACGAATCACTGATTAAAAACGTCAAGTTGAGTCTGAAGGACATAGAGGGGAAGCTGTCGGGATTTAACGCGTTGTCACACATAACGAAAAGAAGGTATATAAATGGCGGCAGCCTTTGTCTAGTTCGTTCGGTCGGACCTGTTCAAGTTTTCAACTCCTCAATCAATTTAATTACTCTTTCAAGCGCCCGTCAAGGAATTTATCAGAATTCAATGTCAAGGGAGC